TCTGTGTATGAGAGAACACGTCATTTTCCTGTAAATTTCATTTCCACGACCCATAAAATTCTATTGTATTTATACTATAGCCGCATTATACATCCATCTCATGGATGGGCATCTAGACTGATCCTGATGGTGTATCAGTATCTCTGTGGTATGGTACAGGTTCCTAGGATGTATATCCAGAAGTGGTTGGGTCATGGGGTAGTTCAGGTTTCAGTGATTTCAGAAACCACCACTAAGGCTGCATAGTGAGATTCTGTCTCAAAATCCAATCCAATCCAATCCAAAAAACCAAGCGCAACAATAAAACCCCAGACTGACTTCATTAGAATTGTAGCCATCTACTTTACCCCAGCAGTCAGGAAAGACTCCCTTTCTTCACACCCTCAGCAGACTTGTGGTCGGTTGGTAGCAGCGATAGCAGCTTTTCCGAACAGACTGAGATGTTAGCCAAGGAGGCTAAACACTTTAAAAGAACTTGACTGCATGCCTTCAGAGAATTCTCAGCTCAGCTCCGTATTCCATGTTTTCTTGTTTACAGTCAAGATTTTCTTTTCTTTTTTTCTTTTTTGGTTTTTTAACACTAAGCACTGACTCACAGGGAACAGGCTGCAGCACCTCAGGCATTTTTTCTGTTAGTTCTCACAAAGTCTATTTATTTAGGTGGAATAGGCTTCTGCTTCAGTCAAACCCAGTTACCCTTCTCTTTGGCTCCCCCTTTCAGACTATTTTCCTTCATCCTTTTCAGGAAGATAGTTCAATTTTTTTTGCTGTTGTTGAGACAGGGTCTTTATTGCCCTACCTGTCCTGGAACTCATTATGTAGACCAGGCTGGCCTTGAACTCAAGAGTTCTGCCTGCCTCTGCCTCCTGAGTGCTGAGATTAAAGGCGTGTGCTATCACACCTGGCTCTGGATTATAGCATTTCAACTTCATAGAATACCACACTGCCAATGAAGATATATATTTTAGAGTAGAAAAACAATATACACATAGATGTGGCTTGCTTTTTATAAAACAAAGGATTATGTGAATAGTCATGCATGTGTCACACACCGGCAAACACATTCTGTCGAGTGCCAGACAAGAAACATTCGTAGCTTGGAGACCACATGGCCTCTCCCACAATTCCTCAATTGTATAGTGGAACAACAAACCAAAACCAGGATATATACAAACAAACGTGGCTATGCTGCATACAACTTTATTTCAAAAATTCAAGCAGGCATGGTGGTGCATATTGTTCTTTAAAAAGAATATGATGATGGTGGAGTGCCCCAAGCGGCCTGCAAGCCAGGCAGAAGCTGCCGCCAGAGCAGTACAGGTTACCGGCGGCGGCAGAGCTGGTCCCGTCATGCAGCAGGGGAGAGTCAGGTAGGCAGGTGCGGCGGATAATAGTAAACAGACATAAGGCTAGACATAAAGGTAAACATTTATTACTTAAAGAGAGGGAAACATAAAGACATGGAGACAGACATAGAGAGAGACAGAAACACGTGTGCACACGGCAAGAGATGGACAGGAAAAGGGAAAGCCAAGATGGCCACAGGTCAGAAGTGGCTGGAAGTGGGCGTGGTTAGCCCTTAAAGGGACCAGAGAGAGCATAAGGAATAACAGTGCATGCCTTTAGTCCTAGCACTTGTGGGGCAGCAGCAGGTGAGTCTCTGTGAGTTCAGACCAGCCTGGTAAGCTCCAGTTCTGCCAAGGTTATAGTAAGGCTCTGACTCAAAAAAAAAAAAAAAATCCATAGGTGGGCATGAGCTTGCTCAATGGCTAATGGCACATGTTGCCATGCCTGATGACTTACCTGAGTTCTGTTTTGGGGACCTGCATGCTGTTAATAAAGAACCAACTCCCACAAGTTGTTTTTTTTTATTTTTCACACATGTGCCTTGGCACTCATGTATGTGCACTCACACACACACACACACACACATACACACACACACCATTTACTATCTTCTTGTATGCATTAGAAGCCTGCACAAAACTATGAAGAAGTCTTGGTTGACTCTAAGGAATGGCTGGTTCTGTCTGCGTAGCTCACTGCAGATGGGACACGTGGAGAAGAGACAAGCTGAGCTACTCACAAGAGAAAAGTTCCAATACAAGGAGCAGTGAACGCTACAGAATTTCACTTATGGGTTTACCTCAAAAGTTACTTTTATATGATGAAAAGATGAATTAATTATTGATAGTGGTATGAATAAGGGATAGGCTGTCAACACACATTAGACTCTTAAAAAAGAAACTCCTGCTAGGCAATAAATTCTGTGTCACGCCCCACTAGTCTAAGGCAATACATATGTAAACAGTGATGTCATACAAACGAATGTGCAACCATAATACACATTAGACAAACTTTTGAGAGATAACACCATCTTGTCCTTTCCTTTTTGTATTATAGAAATATTACTATCTAACAATTAACAGGAATATTGTTGATACAAAATTCCCCAAACTTTTCTATAGTCTGGTAACAATGTGTCTTTTGCCATTTTCTATAGAGAAACTTTTCTCCGTCCATTGTTTTAGGGTTTCCTCCTAGGATGAAACCCATAATCATACTACAAAAGTCTCTCATGAGTAATGTGTTTTAAAAAGCAGTGCATATCTAGATAATTTAATGTAGAGGAGATATAATGTACAATACATTCTTTTAAGACATTTTCTTCAAGTAATTTAAGGATTATATATACCTCAGGTGGAAACAGAGACTACGAACTGATTTCTTGGAAAAGGATCTCACACCCAAACTGAGCCTGTGAGAACCGTGTCCGCTGTGAGCTGCGTGGTACTTATAGTTATCTGACACGTTGCTGAAGGGCTCCCTCATTCGGAATACAACAGTGTCTTCCCCAGTGTGAATCCAATGCTGCACATCCATTGGGCTGATGCTGGATGACTTCTCGTCCTCTCTGCATTGCTCTGTGGATATGACGATGGCCTTCGGGGCCGTGTGTTATGGAACAGTTTCCCACGGCATTCCTACGGCTTCTTGTGAGTGTGTGTTCGCTGATGGCATTTCAACACGGACTTCTGCAGGAACGCCTTCCCGCATTGTTGGCAGATAAAAGATCTCCCCCTAGTGTGAGTCATCTGGTGTCTGGGCAAAGAGGACTTATTGTAGAAGCCCTTCCCACACTCAGGGCACACGTAGGGTTTCTCGCCTGTGTGAATTTGCTGATGTGATACCAATGCTGACTTCTGGAGGAAGGTTTTCCCACATTGTTGACAGATAAAAGGTCTCTCCTTAGTGTGAGTTATCTGATGCCTATGCAAAGAGGACCTGCCAAAGAAACCCTTCCCACATTCAGTGCAAACGTAGGGTTTCTCTCCTGTGTGGATTCTCTGGTGATCGCGGAGCTGGCCCTTTGAAGCCAGGGCTTTCCCACAGTCCCGGCACTTGTAAGGCTTCTCTCCAGTGTGAATTCTCTGATGTGCTCGAAGTACTGACTTCTGACTAAAGGCTTTCCCACACTCACTGCATACGTGGTGCTTTTCTCCAGTGTGAATTTTTGTGTGTAGATTGAGGGATGATCTCCGGCTGAAGGCCTTCCCACATTCAGAACATGCATACGGTGTCTCCCCAGTGTGGATGCGGAGGTGCTCTTTCAGTTGGGAGGAATTACTGAATGACTTTCCACAGTGGCTGCACTTGTAAGGTCTCTCCCCTGTGTGAATTCGATGATGCACTGTTAGTTGGGATGTATGACTGAAGGATTTCCCACAGAAACGGCATCCATGAGGCTTCTCTCCTGTGTGTGTCTGCTGATGAGATGTCAACTGAGAGCGCTGAAAGAAGGACTTCCCACACTTGGGACAGACGAAAGGCTTGTCCCTGGTGTGAGTTATCTGATGCCTCAGGAAGCCCGACCTACCATGAAAACCTTTCCCACACTCAGTGCACACATACGGTTTCTCTCCGGTGTGAATCCGCACGTGCTCTTCGAGTTGGTACTTGGAAGCCAAGGCTTTCCCACAGACGGTACATTTGTGAGGTCTCTCCACTTTGTGAATTCGACAATGCACGTTCAGCGTGAATGAGTACGTAAATGACTTCCCACAGTGGCTGCACTTGTAAGGCCTCTCCCCTGTGTGAACTCGATGATGCATCTTCAGCTGGGATGCATAAGTAAACGCTTTCCCACAAGCACCGCATCTGTGAGAACGCTTGCCCAGGTGGGTTCTCTGGTGCGCGCTGAGCGCTGACTTCTGACTGAACGCTTCCCCACACTCACTGCACACATGGTGCGTTTGTCTAATATGTATTTTCTGGTGGACACTGAGACTTGACTTGCGCTTGAAGGCCTTCCCACAGTCAGCACATTCATACGGTTTCTCCTGCATGTGGATCTGGTAGTGGACTTTCAGTCGGGATGGACAACTAAATAATTTCCCGCAGACAGTACATTCATAAGGCTTCTCCCCGGTGTGAACTGTCTCGTGTGTGCTGAGGATTGACTTCTGCTTGAAGGCTTTCCCACACACAGGGCACACGTAAGGTCTCTCCCCTGTATGTGTTCGATGATGCACCTTCAGCTGGGATGTATTACTGAAGGATTTCCCACACACAGGGCACACGTAAGGCTTCTCTCCAGTGTGAACTCGATGATGAACCTGCAGGTTGGATGTACGACTGAAAGACTTCCCACAGTCGGGGCACACGTAAGGCTTCTCTGTGTGAGTTTCTTGATGGGAGGTTAACTCTGACTTCTGGAGGAAGGCTTTCCCACACTTGTGACAGACAAAGGGCTTTTCTCCAGCGTGAGCTGCCTGATGCTCCCTGAAAGCAGACATGTCATAGAAGACCTTCCCACATTCAGGGCATTCGTCTGGTTTCTCCTGCGGATGCCCTTCCTGCTGTCTAAGTGTGTGTTTATGGGTGAGAACTTTCCTGCACTGGTTACCTTTGCAGGAATTCTGGCCTTCATGAGGAATTGTGTGGCCAGAGTTAGAAGAGTCTTGCCTGAAGAGCTGACCAGAGGTAACAACATCATTAAGCTGTCTAGTGATATTGCTTTGGTCTTCACCATTTGCCTCCAGGTTATGCCTCACACTGCTTGTGAGTCCCTTCGGGGCTCCCTTTTGTGTGGAAATGAGGCTGGACACCAAAGGAGTGGCATCCCCAGGCTCTTTACAGCCACAGCCTCTCTCAGTGCTCGGTGCTTCCTTGCTGGGGAGAACACCTGCACTCCAGGGCGGTTTCTGGTTTGGCCGATTTCTTTTTGCAGGGTCAGGATCTGGCCACAGTCCCACGATAGAACACCACAGGGCGTGTCTTGTTATTTCCCTCGCCTTACTAGTTTGAAATGCTTCAGACTCAGAAACTCTTGGTCGAGGGGCGGAAAACTCTGATTCCACTTCTGGAAGAAGAAAAGAGATGAGAGACCAGGCATAAGGGACAGGAAGCGTGAGGAGTCACACAGCGCTAACACAGTGAGGGCTTCTGACACTGAGCAGACTATAACTACATCCCTTACCGTAAGCCAAACATTAGGTGTGGAACACTTGCCAGACAGGCAGCTTTCTTTATGATAGAAACACTCATTTTATCCCCAAACCATCCTCTAAGGCAATTATAACTACTCTTCCTGATCTACAGATGAAGAAATACTAATATGAATACTTAGGTCAGTGGTAAATATGGCTTCAATTATTGGTAGGAAAGACTCGACAAAAACGACACATTTAATTTATATAGGGCACCTACACACCCAGAGCTTGGAGGGTAAGAAGTAGCATACGTGTGCCTTTCGCCCATATTTCCATCTATGTACTCATACAGTCACGTCCCCAGCTCTCTGTCTTACTCCGTCTAGGAAAGCACTCTATCCTTGAGCTACAACCTAAGATCAGAAAGGTTTTCTTTTCTAACATCAGTCTACATATATAGTAGCCTTTCCTTACTTTTCCAATCTCATACTGTGATATGAGAGTAGTTAAAAGCATTTGCTGCTTTTTCAAAGAATGGAGTTTAGTTTCCAGTACCTACATGAGGCAGCTCACAAAGTACTGTTAACTCCAGCTCCAGGGGTCCAACATCTTCTTCTGAACTCTGTGGAAACCCCCATACATGTGGCATGTATTTACACAGATACACACACATGCACACAAAAATAAATCTAAACAAGAAAATCCTACAACACCGATCAAACACATCTAAGGGATATCTACAGAATATTCTTGATGCCATAGAAGTTTCTCAAAGAACAGACCACATGCTAGGTTACAAAGCAACTCTGAATATTACAAAAAAATTGAGACAACTTCTGGTATCTTAAAAGACAATAACGGAATAAAATAGACACCAACACTAAGAGAAACTGCACAGATACATGGACATAGAATAGTGAGTCTCAAAGAAATCAGGGAGGATATTAAAACATTTCTGTACTCTTTGGATACAGCTCATGACAGTTCTAAGACCAAGTTAATATCTGAGATATTTGCATTAAAGAAAGAAGAGAGAGTTCAACCTACTGATGCAACTGAAGATCTTAGAAAATGAAGAAAAAAGCAAAATCCAAAGTAGTAGATGGAAAGAAAAAAATAAAGATCAAGGCAGCAATTGATGAAATGAAAAGTAACAGAACAAAACACAGAAGGAAACAAATTGATAAGTGAGGGGCTCAAAAGCTGGCTCAGCTGTTAAGAGCACTGACAGCTCTTCCAGGGGACCCAGGTTCAGTTCCCAGCACCCATGTGGCGGCTCGCAACTCTTTGTAACACTAGTCCTAGGGGATTAGATGCCATCTTCTGGCCTCTGTGGGCATTGCACACAGATAGTGGGCAAAACACCTACACATACATAAAAACAAGCCCTCTAGCTAAACTGACACAGAGAGAAGACTCAATAAAATTAAAAATGAACAAGAGGCTATTACAACTGATTCCAAACACACACAACAGATCACTGGAGAAATCTTACATTAAAAAACTTGGAAAAGTTATCATAAACAGTTAACAACTTTTAACAGACTGAAGATCTTGAAGTAATTTATGAAAGTCTGAAACTGCTAAAGGGAGACAGAGGCAAAACTCTTAAGGATACAGCATGGGTTAGGACTTCTAGGAAAAGAAGGCAATAGTACAGGAAAAAATCCTGTGGATTGATAAATATGATTATATAAAATTAAAAACCTGCACAGCAAAAGAGACAATCACTAGAATGAAGAGACAGCCTTATGTACTGGGGGAAAAGTCTTTCTAACTTAGACTAATATTCAGACTATATGAAGAACTATAAAAGAATCAAATGCCCCAACATCAAATTCTCCGATCAAGAAATAGTTAATATATTTAATGAATGCTTCTTAAAAGGCATACAAACGGTATTTGAAAAAGTATTCAATATTCTTAATGATCAGGGAAATGCAAATTAAAACTTCTTTCATATTCTAGCTCACCCCAGTCAGAATGACTGTTACATGAACAGATGACAAAAGGATTCAAAGGAAAGATACAGCCCCGCCCACTGCTGCAGGGCACGGAAACCCCGCCCACTGCTGCAGGGCACGGAAACCCCGCCCACTGCTGCAGGGCACGGAAACCCCGCCCACTGCTGCAGGGCACGGAAACCCCGCCCATTGCTGCTGGACACAGAAACCCCTGCTCACTGCTGCGGGACACAGAAAGTCACTAAAGAAGCTAGCAGAAGGTCCTCAAAGAACAACAAATAGAACTGCCCTATGACCCAGATAGACCTGCACACATCCTGAAGAACTCAGTATCAGTAGATACAGCAGACACACTTGCACAGCCATAGTTATGGTTGCACTAAGAAATGGAACCAGATGTCTCTCAGCAGATGAATGGATCAAGAAAATGTAGAATATATAAACAATGGGATTTTAGTTAGTCGTAAAGAAAAATGAAATCATGGAAACTGTAGCAAAATGTATGGAACTTGAGATCATTACGTTAGATGAATCAAGGGAGACTCAGACAAATACCACATTTTTTCTTACACGTAGACTCTAGATTTTAATTTCTGTATGTGTATATACAGGCATCTCTATATGTACGGTGTGTAAACAGTGAAAGTAGAAAAAGCACTGTGAAAGGAAAAGGGATCTGAAGGGAGGAAGGAGAAAGACAGAGTACTGGGGCACAGGTGACAGGATCTGTGGCAAGCAGAGGACCCAGCACGAGGCGACTGGAGGAGGTCGGGGGAAAGGACCAGGGGAGGAAAACACACAGTGACGGCCAGTGTAAGAACATGACAATGAAACCAACTTAAAACATACCCAGTGCAAACTATCACCACCTATGCTAAAAGCTTTATACCTCACTAATGCATCTTATCAATGTTGACACAGCTGTCTGTCTGTCTGTCTGTCTGTCTGTCTGTCTATACTTCTATCACACTGGGGAATGAACCCAAGGCTCTGTGCCTGCTAGGCTGGCGTTCTACCACTGAGATACACATCCCCAGCCCTGACCATGGTTAACATGAAAACAAAAGATCAATTTCCTTCCTAACCAACACATTTACCCAACGCATTGATCCGCCAATGCATTCATCTATATCATCAACCATCACTAAGTTTCCCTCATATTTTTTTTTGTCATTATTTGTAGACAAGGTATACAAATACAAATCTACATGTAGACCTTCTGGAGAATACGGTTGCATTAGTTAACTTAGGTAATCTGCATGATGAGGCAGTTCATACACTGTCCACCCCTGAGAACCTTATCCTCACTCCTAGCCCATATTCACAGAGCACTGCAGCACTGGTTGTGAGAGCTGGAGCAGGAGGCAGGTTGGCACTACTGTGGTCCACCTCAGGGGCTGCACCATAAGCTGCACAGACTGACAGCAGGAAGCAAACTAGGGGCCACCACTAGGGGATGGACAATGAGGACGGATGACAAGGGACACCAATGACATCGGCCTCCATCCAGGTCACTTACCTTGACACCAACACTGCTGGTGTGGGAACTCAGCCTCTCCCATCCATGCCTCCTTTCTTTTCTTTATCCTGAAGATGGCCCCGGAGCTGGGAATGGGGTGCCCTGTAAGTTGGAAGAATATTTGCTCAGTGTGTGGCTTTTAGGCTTTAGAGGCTGATTAGAAAAAAAAAAATCAACATTTTGTAGTGGGCACATAATAATTAACTTAGCATGTTTAAAAGTAATGAATTATCAGGACAAACCATAGGGAAAAGCCTTGGCACACTTTTGATACCCCATTATGTTCTACAAAAAGAACATGATTCAGTTAGGCCCATCCTGGATCCCCAGGCCAGCTGCGCTCACCCACTGCCCAGAGGTGGCTGTAGATCTCCAGCATCACATCCTGGTACAGGCGTCGCTGGGCGGGGTCCAGGTGCTGCCACTCCTCCCGGCTGAAGTCCACAGTCACATCCTCTAAGGACACCAATCTCTGCAACAGCAAAGCGCGGTTCATTGTGAGATAGTTATCGCATTACACATAACAATGTGGCTCAGTGGTCCTTTACTGCGACATATCATTAGTCTTTCCAGAAAACATCTATTTTATATTATATGAATAATATATATATATATTATTTGAATATTTCAGAAGTCAAAAAAGTTAGTAAAAATAATCTTCCATCTCTTGTACACGCATATTTCTCTTCCCCAAAGCAGCCAGAAACGGGTTGTCATGAATACTTCAGAGAGGACCACGCAGCCTGACACAGAGTTCACAGAGAGGTGAACTGCCAAGGGAAGCTGAGAACCAAACAAGGAAGAAACACTCAGAGGCTGAAGACTTTGCACAGAATCAACTGCGCTGCTTGCTGCATTTTAGCTTTGGGAATCCTCATTCATTCAGAAACTCACAGGTCAAAATATCTCCAACATCGTTACATGTAAACAGTCCATCCATGAACCAGAAGACTTTAGTCTGTTTCTTTACCAACCGCGTCCTCCCAGGCCCCACCACCAGGAGGTGCAGGGCATTGGCCCTGTGGTCTGCTCTCAGCTGGAGCAGCAAGTTTGTCGGACTGGGGGCCAGGACCTGCTACTTCCCATGTCTGTCTTCCAGTCTCAGAGAACTGGACTCCAGGCAGCTGCTGCTTACCTTGCTTGACCCATCCTGCTCCCGTGGGTTCAGTCTCTGGGGCTTCTGGGACAAATTCATGTCAGCAGGCATGTTTCTCTCCTTGGCCTCTTTGCTGGCGGATTCGATTTTCTCAGGAACTGGAAGCTGGGTGAGTGTCTAGAAGTCCCCGGGAAGGCAGCTGAGCAGAGAGGTCAGCTGTGCTGGGGCAGAAAATCCCATAGCCTGGATGACGTGGTCTGACTTAGGTGTAAAGTGACAACAGAAAGCCCCAGGGAGGGAATGACCTTGTGTCCCCAGCTCACATGTGCCACACATGGGTCTCTGAGGACCCAAGACAGTCGCAGTGTAGGCATGATAACAGACAAAGCTCAGAAGAGCCTTCCTGGTACTGACCAGGATGATGACCCTGGGGAGATGGTGCTGGGCGTAAGAGAGCTTGTGGCACCAGCGGGAGGACCTGAGTTCAAATCCCCGGCAACTTGAAGAAGGCTTGTCCACAAATGTCTGTAACTCCAGCACTGTGTGGGACCAAAAGAAGAGTATCTCTGGGTTCTCTGGCTATCAGCCTAGCTCCAGGTTCAGTGAGAGACCCAGCCTCAAGGGAATAAGGCTGGAAGTGATGGAGCAGGGCACTCAATAGCTTGCTTTGGCCTCAGAGCATGTGCACGGACAGACATGTGTATCCATACTCACATCCACGCACAAACATTACACACAATCACACACACACACCAAAATCCCAAACAACTCTATCCCCTGAAGTAAACACCCAACACCATAGTTAGGACTGAAGTTAAGGAACACTTCACCGAAGTTCCCAGTTTTTAACTGTGAGAGGAGGAAGTAGTAACCTAGTTGCTTCTGAAGTGGGGGTGCAGGTGTGAACTGTGAGCACCGAGGACCTGAACTCATCTGAAGCTCAGCCCACTCTCGGCACCTGCCTATAAATACACACAAAGATGAGCAAGCTGCCAGGCTGCTCCTTCTGGCCTTTGTCAAGCTGTTCATGCAGGCTACCCCAACGCCCAGCATTTTTGAGACATGGTCTCACCGTGCAGCTCTTGCTAGCCTGTAGTTTTCTATGTACCTTAAACTCACAGAGTTCCACCTGCCTCTGTCCCTGAGCACTGGGACCAAAGGTGCCAATGTCCCAACTCTCACAGAATTCTTTTAACCATTCCTTAAGCATCAGTATAACCATTTCCCCCAGACAAACAAATAAGGCTATATGCTGTTTTATAATGCACCCCAAAAGACAGAGTGGGGATCAGTCTCATCTCTTCCCTATACCAAACCACACACAGTCCCCATTATCTCAGGCAGTTCCTTGTGTGCTCAGCGCCCAGAAACCTGTCTGCTTCATCCTGCCTTCTGAGAGCAGAGATGTGATGCAGTGTGGTGGGTAATGGCCACTTCTGGTTCTTTCTGCATTTCTTGACATTTTTGTGGACATCTACTGACCAACATCCCATTCTCTTCTCTTGAATTCAGAGGCCCAATCCCTTCCCTGACTTGGAAACCCTCCACATAAACACCAGGCCACAGGACCCTGTCCACAATGTCTTCATGGCAAATAGGATGTACTCAGTGACATCCTGGACTTTCAGTGACCTGCAATAAGAGGATCAGAGGACCACCGAATTAAACACGGGCATGCACAGTTCCACAGACCATTACTACTTTGACAGCCAAGAAATAGCCAGAGACGTCTATTTACAGGTTTCCAGAGAGCCTTCAATAAACTCTGCAGCCCAAAGAACATCCCCGGACTCAAATGCCAATCACTGACCCTTACCGTGGCCACATGGTCCCCAGCAGAGGTCAGCATTGACCCACCTCATCTGCAAAGGACCCCAACCCTCATGTAAAATGGACTCAGGGATTAGGATTTGTCTTTTAAAGGTTTGTTTTTGCATCTCAAGCTTCCTAAAGGAGATGGTATGCTGGGAATGAAAAGGTCCTGTCCTAGAAGCCCTGCTGCCTGCACAAAGGCTCCTCATCTCCCAGCTCTGGCGACTGTGCCTCCTGCTAAGTGTGCATATGCATATCCCCTGGCTTTCCTTTCAGGTATTCTAGTATTAGCCCTGCTGGGAGAAGCGACAGACTGACCGAGAATGGCTGGTCTTCAAATTGAGCCCAAACCACGAATAAGCTCATTTTCCATTTTAAATCTAATTTTTCTCTTCTTTCAGGCAACCCAATTCGGCGCGAAAACAGCGCGATCGCCCCCAGACACCAGTCCCAGGCTCGCTGTGGCGGGCTCCATGGCCTCCTTCAGCATCCCTGCTCCCCCGCCTTCCACAGGACTCCCTCCCCAGCTCAACTACAGCATCCCCTGCGGCCGTGTCAGCTGTCACTCAGCACAAACCAACTCTCACCAGCAGAGTCCTCCTTGGTTCGCCCATTCACCTCGCGCCGCGCCTCAAAGAGCTCTGTACACCGACGCCGGTGCCCCGCGACTTCCGCCCACTGAAGCTCGGTGTTCAGAATCCAAACTCCCGTGCTATCCGGGCAAAATAACAGAACCGATCAACGTCAAGATTTAAGCGGATATGATCACTTCAGACCACTTCCGTTTACTAGGACTCAATGTTCCCAGCCTTTCTCCAAGGTTGGGGGGGGGGGGGTTGGCGCAGCGCATGCGCACCACCACTTGTGAGGTAAGTCTTGCCAATACTCCTCTTGGAACATCAGGTATTTTCTGTTTCCTTAGTAGCTGTCATGGCCACTCCCACATACAATGATATTGAGACCACCATCACAGTACATTCGTTCCGTACAGTCAGGCAAGGCTTGCGGAATGTGATACAATGAAAGTCCAAGTCTTGCCAGGGGGTTTATTTCCTACCTGTATGTGTATATCATCTATTTCTAAGAGACTGTAACATTACAGATTATTAAAAATACCATTTTCTGTATTTTCTCAGGGACTTAAAAGTTTCTTTTTTCTCTAAATTAGAAGGAGAGAGAGAGAGAGAGAACTAGGCAGGGTTGTTGGGAAATGGAAATTGAAGTCATATGGAATCTTAAAAGGTGAGGATCTGAAATGAAGGTGATACTGGGGCATTTAATGATCGCCAAAGGTGGAGAGATCTGTTGTCAATTAGTATGCCTTTAAATTGCTTATTATTTATTGTGTTTTGTATATATAGAAAATAGCGTAGAGCTGGATGGAAGGAAAATAATGGTGAACGGGAAAGACCAATTGGGAGTGAAAGCATCCAGTACGCCAGGGTGACCGAATCCAATAGGTCCAAATCCAAATCCAAAGTAGAATATTCGAATAAAATGAAAGATTATTGCAGCATCTTCAGGTTAAAATTCTTCAGGCTCGCCTTGAACTTGCTGTAGTTCCCTGCCTCCGCCTCCCAAGGGCTGGGAGGGGTGTGCGGTCACGCCTGACTTCCCAGATGGCCTTGATCATCCTGAGAACAGACTTGAGAAGTGGTGCTCTTGTGACCAGAGTTTTATACCCAAGGAATAGGTTCAGCCACCTCTCACAATATGTCAAAGTTATAAGACAGTATTAAAAAGGTAAAATAATGCAAGTATCAATTTCTACTCATCTGTCTGCTACATCTGGGCACACCATCGATAGCCACGCCCACTCACTGCAGCCCAGGCACCACCTTACACCCCCAGAGGCACAGCGCCCATCTGTCTTGCAGCTGGAACCACAGCCAGTCCAGACACATGGAACACTTGCCTGTGGAGGTGATGAAGCACAAGGGTCAATCAGAAGGGGACGCTACGTGCCTCTCCATCTTTGTGCTCCATGAGAATGGCCTAATGGGCAGTCGAGGGAGCCGCCCTGCAAATATCATAAAAACCCTGTGTTTCAGGAGGCTGAACACAGAATCCCTGGTGAAGTTCTCAGGCCAGGCACGGTGGTGAACAACTTTATTCTCAGCACTTGGGAGTCAGAGGCAGGTAAATCTCTGTGAGTTTCAGATCAACCTGTTTCATACAGTGAATTCCAGGCCAGCTAAGGCTACACAGTGAAATATGACCTTAAAAAAATAGCAGAAATGTACACGAAACAGACTGCCGAGAAGGGTGAATTAGGTAGACACCTGGAAGTAGTACTGAGATGCTCTAAGTATGAGGTGGAGAAGAGCGTTTTCCAGTTAAGAGTGGATGTGTAGGTGGATAAGTAGGGAAGTCAATGGTAAATCACAGAGCTGCATGTGGTCCTGTGATGATGGGATTTCAATGTCATCCTAATTCCAAACAGAGAGCTGAGAACAAGTATAGGTAATTACTAATAAATGGGGTCTGTGTCTCCAGGTTGTCCTGAAACTTGCTGTGAAGCCAAAGATCACCTAAAAGATCTGATCCTCTTGCCTCCACGTCCTGAGTGGTTAGATGACAAGAATATGTCACCGTGTGCAATTTACACAGTGCTGGAGATCAAGCCCAGGACTTCATGCTAGCAGGCATTCTATCAGCTGAGCTAAGTCCCCAACCAGGAGTTTGTTTTAAACTTGTAGTGAATGGCCACATAAGCATCTTAAGAATGGAATTGAGATGATCATATTGACATGTCAAAAGATTTAGTTTTCCTATAGGAACCAAGTTAAGGCGAAGAAGCGTTGATGATGACAAGCTCTGCATTCACAGGAGGAATTTCTTGTCAGACTTTCTCTTGGGAACTGCCAGCTCCCAAATAATGGCATGGAGACTTACTATTAATTATGAAAGTTTGGCCATTAGCTTAGACTTGTTTCCAACTAGCTCTTATAACTTAATTAACCTGCTTCTATTAATCTATGCTTCAACATGTGACTTTTTAATCTCTCCTCCATTCTGTATGTCCAGCTCCCTCCACGTCTCTGTTATCTCCCTCATGCACCTAGATTCATCCCAGTTTCCTATCTCTGCCCAGAGGTCCCCTCTAACCTCTCCTGCCTAGATATTGGCCACTCAGCTCTTCATTAAAACGATCAGACAAAACAGTGACACATCTTCACAGTGCACAAGAAGATTATCCCGCACATGCATTACAGAAGGACTGAAGACAGCTAATGGAGGTTACAGTGTTAACACTTTTCCTGCTCACCAGTGGTTGCTAAACCATAAAGGTGACACCCTCCTGAGATATTTACAGTGCAGGGCTGAGTGACAAGACCTGAATACAGTGATAAATTTCAGTATCACAGGAGAGAGATGTCCTGGCATGCTGTGCACCTAGTAGGATGCAATAAAACCTGGATGTTGTACACAGTGAATTGATAATGAAGACAAAAAATAAAATTACAATCTGATCATGCTTGTTGGGCAGAGCTCTTAAATGGAAATATAAATGGAGCCACAAAAGAGTAGAGATTTCTAGCAGTCACACCAGAATAGAAACCAACAGGATCAATTTAACAGTGTATTTGATATAGTCTGATATACCCAAATTATTCCTAGATACTCAGCTTTCAAAAGTCAGTGAATATCTATGAAGTGAAAACATTAAAAGACTGATGTCCCACGCTTCCTCTCGCCTGCAAGAACCATGCGGGACACAGGATCCTTTTGTAGAAAAGCTTTATGTCTCTTGGGAGCTAGAGCATAAGTCACATGGCGGAGACCCAGATAAGATGGAACCCATCCCTTATAAAGGAAACAGACCCTGCTTTGGACGTGTCACTCTTGGATTGGTCAATTGTCCATAATCCCAGGTGAATGCCTCGGGAGTAGGCGGGGACTCA